TTTCCGGTCCGTTAAGGGTATCAAGTCAAACGAAGGTGTTGACCGGCGTCAGCGAGGTCTTCGGACTTACAGCCCGTCCTGTGGACATGTAACGGCTGCTGGAGCCAACAGCGAAGCATCATGAACCCTCAGGGTTTTGACGCTTCAAGGATGACTCTGATGCATGCAAGGACGGTCACGCCAGGATTGAGGGTTGAGGAGTGAGGGTCAAAGGCTTAGGCTTATGGGGTCATGGGCTCAGGCTTGCTCAGGCTTAAGCTCGGACTCGTGCTAAGATATCGGCGACGATGCAAGTTGCCAGTATGACGGAGACCACGAAGGTATTCACTGTACCCCGAGAAAGGACCGCAGCTTCAGTAATTACATGCCAATCTGAGTTTAGGAATTCGTGTGATCCTTTCAGCCTAATTACAGCGCTCCGAACCTTCAACAGCCCAAACCCCGGGTTCAGCTCAAAAGGTGGCCCCATTTCGTGACTCGGCAGAGCAAACCCGTCCCAGGCCGGGTCCTCAACCCTTAACTTGGAACCTTCCCGAACCCTCAGTGCCACGCCAGAAAGGGCAAAACACTGTAAATCCTCGGAACTCGACTCCAAACTTAAGAGCGCTAAAACCTAGAGCCTGAAGCCAGAATCCTAAACCCCACAACCTAAACCCTGAAGCCCGAAGTCTCTGGTTGCCAGGCTGTGGAGGCCGCAAAGAAGGCTAACAACCCGAAGACCTGGCAGGAGGTGCCGGCAGAGTAAAGTTTGAGGGTACAGGGATTATAAAGGGTACCAGAATGTGTCCTGGGCTACTTCCATTTTCATCATTCTTTTCCCATGTGCCCCATATCCTAAACCTTCAATCCCAAACGCCAGACCTCCTAACCCTTTATGTGAATTTCAGCTTTTGTCAGGTGAACCTGGCCTGCGTCAAGGCGGAACAGTTCCGCTGTCCGGGCCTGAACACCCCAAACCGTACTTGGCTCCATGTGAAGCATTCAGTGGACAAGGATGCGCTTTATGCTGCTTGGGGTCTGGTTCACGTGGGGACTATGGGAACCCGTGTTTTTTTTTTGCTGTTCGGTCTCTT